CAGTCATTCAGCTACTGTACGAAAAAAAGTGGTTTGTGCACCGTGCACAACCGTGAGTAATGCAACCTTTGTTGGATAAAAAAATGTTATGCCGTCACCAGTATGATATTGTATGCGTGTATATTCGTTTGAAGCTATTCAGAATTTTTTTTTAAATCTTGTTGAGAGAATTCTTAAAAGAATACGTTTGTGTGTTTTTTTTTTTCGCATATGCGCTCGGACGGCTTAGACACTTTTCCATGGCGCGGGAAGTCTAAATTAATTTTTACTATACTGTCTCGTTACATTGAATGAATGACGTGTTATCTTCGCCTATGTTAATTAATTTTGACGGCTAACGCAACTCACCTTCAGCTAATCACACGAAGGGATACCAAATTCCAGCTATACAGACTTCAGTAGACAACCATAATTCTTTGTGTTAACACTGTATGCAGTGTATAGTATGTATAATCAATATTGGCTAGTATTGCAATCGCCTTAGGATATATATATATATATAATATATATATCCTAACCGACCTTGTACTACGCATGCATACGTCCCAACAAGCAGGAGAATTACGCAAGATCGCAAACAATAATTACCCTAATATTTATAATAGAAATTAAAATAATAATTCAATCGTAAAAGCGTAAAATTAAAGTTATTGAACTAATTTTTAAAATATCATAATGATAGGTAAAATAAAGTTTGACTTCTTAAACAATTATCCAATAGATAATACTGGCTTTGCGCTCAATATCTAGCTCCTGTTGAACGCCAATTCTTGCCTTGCGCTCCATACCTAGCTCCTGCAGTAGCGTGTCTGCAAGTATCCAAGGTGCTTTTATTTACACATTAATACATACACGCACGTACGCACGCACACACATGCACAGGCAAACACACAAACGCGCGCGCGCACGCATACACCCATGTACGCACACTTACTGCTGCTTTTAAAAATCGCTACAGTTTTTGTTCAAAAAGGAATATTCGGAAAGCGGGAAGCGGGATTTGAATGCGGAATATTGAGGAAGCAAATATAGCGAATGAAGCGATATATACGACGAGAAAGATCATATCGTAGATCATAATACAAACTATAGTGCCTGCTGGCAATGCTGCATTTCTAATTATGTGCGTACTAGTAAGATAAAATATTCTCTCCTATATTTTCCAGACTAGCAGCGAATCGAACAAAATGTTGACAAGCTCAAAAACTAATCACACTCGATATGGCGATATATTCATACCGGACTAAGGAAGCGGCATACCAGAATACGCAACACGACACGGAAATTGACGCGAACAATTTATGCAAACGAGTTTATATACATACGATAGGTAAACAATAATTATATGCGAAGTGCGCACAGTTGTTGCTAAAAACAGTAATGTAAAACCCAACATAGAAATACCTACTCTTGCGTTGGGTTATA